GTCAAAGACAGCCTCCCGGGCTCATCTTAAAAATCCTACACACGACTTCTGGCTATATCATATTATTTTCCTTTAAGTTTCAAAGTCTTCTTCCACTTCAGGTAGATTATCCTTCACTTGAGTTCTTCTTTTTTCGCCGTCGCAAGATTTCATATCGGTTGATTATTTCTTTTAGATGTGAAGTAAAGCAACCTTTACTTCTCCGAAAATCGTCTTTTTATCTTAGTTTCTATCTCCTGCATTCACAGTAGCCGCTCAACACATCAAATACACACTTCTCACAAAAGTAGAAAAAAATCCTCGCGCCGCCATCTTTGTTGTAAATTTTCGTCTTTTAATCTCGCGCTTCTTTCGCACGTTTCTCTCGCGCGTGACGCAAGAGTTAGCAGTTCCCCGAGCGAGGAAACTAGTACGAGCCACCTTAAAGTTACTTCCCACCTTTGTGGGTGTCCTTCGGAGAAAATTCGTACGCGCGCTACTTTCATTAAATCCTACCAAAGTATACATCAGAAGAAAGCTCAATAAATGCAAATTACAATGAAACTATAATTTAAGTGAGTTTTCCTTTTAGGAAAGTCAGGAGTCGGTAGGGCGTGAATCGATCGAAGGTTCCTCTATTAAAGCACAAGCAAAATGTCTACGCAGTCTTATTCACAAGGCATCCATGAACGAAGTATGTCAGGCTTTTTCGATCTTCTAATTGGCTGTCTAGATATTGGCATCTAAAGTTGGAGTAGTTTAAAATATGTGAGGCGTGATGCGTAAATGGACACAAACAAAATCTTACTTTTTTCTCATACAAACATTGGCTAAATCCATTCCTTTAAAAACGGCGGCATAAAAGTGATCATGTCTCTTCAAAATCGTTTTTCTTGAACGTGGAAACAACCACAACCATAATCTTTCTTGTAGTTACTTGCAATGTTTTTCCCCCTGACCACTTGAGAGACGTTCACGAAAACACGAGGATCCGATAACTGGCAATTCATTCATTTATCTAGCGAAAGAGAGGATTCTAGTTGCCTTTCATACACACTTCATGCCTGGGATGTTTGCAAATACACAAGAGTCGTTGTCGCCAAATCCTGCTCTCAACGAAGTATACTCACCTTCTGACAATGTCACTGAGTGTTACACTCCCACAATCTTGAAATGCATGCCGATGTCCTTGGTACACAGTTCCTCTTATCAATTACTTTACAAACTGTGCATTTTAACATTTTCGAACTCGAAGGAGTTCGGGGAAACAGTCTCGCCCTACTCAAATCACAAAGAAAAGTAGAAGCGTCTACACACGAAGGAGGTTTGTTTTTGGTGTTTTGATGTTAACATTAACGAATTGTCGGTTATTATTTGTAACCTTTAATAGCGGCTATTACTTCTGTTTGACACTTACAAGGAAATAGATTTTTGACCCCTTCTCTTCCTCACCCCACCTTTCATTTATAATCCTCACTTTTGCAAGGGAGCAATTTCTGAGGTAATTTGGATATATCAACAAAGTTGAAATGGTAAATTGGCCACCGTAATGATTACAAAAGCTGACGTTTCGAGCGTTAGCCCTTCGTCGGAGCGAATAGAGGAATTGTGGGTTGTGTGTGCTTTTAAAGGCAGAAAATGGAGCTACGTTATTGGTGGGTGCATGGTAACGAGAAAAACATGAATAAATTAGTGGAGGTAAATTAGTGGAGGTAACTTAGTGAGGTAAATCTCGACGAAAAGCCAGATATAATAGTAGACAGCAAGAGATTACATAGCAAACGTAAGCAGAAAACCTGGGATGAAATATGCAAGTGATTTCTATGTAAGTGTAAGTATTTTAACCATTTTCTTTTCCTTGTGCTGAGAGGAGACCGATATATCACCGGCTTATTTTTTTTTTCCGTGAACTAACAACTATCTCAAGCTTAACAAATAACAAATCAAATATTTTGGTAGCCGGAAATCTTTGTTACATTTTAAACTTTGTAGACTAGAATCACGACATTCCAAACGAACGTCAAAGTTGACTGCTAAACAAAATCGCAGGCGCGACCTTTTGATTTACAGCAGCTTTCAGGGCATCAAATAATCTTTTGCCACCAACACATATCATGTAAGTCGATAAGTGTCAAGCAGTAAAAGACCAATAATTTTGGTCAATCTTTCCAAGAGCTCTCACGGCGTTTGACATTTCAACAAGGCAACGAAGCAAATCGAATCTGGTACATTGTTGACATAATGGCTACTTAATTAACAAATGATATCAAGCCAAAATTTACAATTGAGGCATCACAGAGACATGAATGTACTATCAATTTTCTTCCTAGGTTTCTTTTGTAAGAAGTTCAACTACATGCGCCCTTGATGTTCATCATCAACTGCTGCGTTTCCACGAGAATGATCCAAATATGGCTGCGAAAAAAAGTTCTCAAAAAGGGCTCAAGTTGCGCTATTCAAAGATTCTCTCCTCGTTCATGTTTAAACGATACTCTCTGGGAATTTTCTTGTAAATTTCTTGTAAATTTGAAGTTATTTTGAGTTAATAAACAAAGATGTTGTTAACGGAATTTTCATGATATAGACCAAAAGCGCGTGTTAGATGTAAATTTCATGTCTGCACAGGTTATGATTCAGTTGCCCTAAAATTTTATTACTGATTTGCAAAGTCCAGTGATGTCTTTCACTACTCGTGTAAGAATAATAATCAGAAGTGATTGGTCATCGGAGATATTGGGCCTTAAAATACCCTTATTTTTGGACTTTGTCAAAACCAGAAAAGTTGTCTTTACTTAAGGGAGAGGTAAGGGAAGAATTGAAATGAAAAAGTTAAAACAACTCAATTTCCTTAAAGTATGAAAGATATAGAACATAACCCAGTTGACTGAATTTGCAGATGGCTTTTCAGTTTGTCACAGCAGCAATGCAAAGTTAGCTAATTAATTATGCAAAAACTGCAGGATATGGGGGTTTTCCCAGGGGGAGCCCTATATCTCCCAGGGAATTATATATTTTGACCTATTATTTTTACGCATTTGTTAACTCATGAAACTTAGCATTTCTGCTAAGTTTAAGCCAAATCAATAATTTGAGCTTTATCGCCCCCTGCCCGGTTTTCTCTAGACACGCTCTGTTAAAAATAGCCCGAATAACAGAGTTAGCGGAATCAAATGCAAGTTCTGTTTTCTTCTAGTAAATTGAAGTTCCGTTGAGCGCTGCAGTGAAGATCATCGTCAATTCAGGTAATAGACAAGAAACAGTTTACAGTAAGTGCTGCTTAAAGTAATTTCATGCCTGTGATAAATTAAAGTTTAAACCGACAAACTAAGAATGATGGAACTCATACCTGAAGTGAATGAGGTAGGAGTCAGTGCCAACCCTGCAAAACAAAACATTTGGGGACTGGTTATTATCTATCGCGTGGGAGGGGCTGGAGGATTTTGCTGGTTGTGTCACGATAAGATTTACCTGATCCCCTTTAGGTTCTGCAATTTCTTATAATCCCCCCTCCCTCATTGGCAGTTAATTGGCAGTCAATTATCTATAGTCCCCACTTTAGACTCTGCTAGTGACAACTGATTTCTCCCTCTTTTCCTTCTGAAAACCATCCAATTCAAGTAAAGTTTTGACTTGAAAAACTGACATAACCCAGTCAATTCGAAAAGAAACTTTTGTAAGGAAGTATTACCCAGATGAACTTTCTCTCTGAGTGTATAGGTCCGATACGGCATTTGAAAGCAGGATCGGTCCTTTCGTCTGTCCACCATCTGTTTGTTCACTAAAGTCAAGATCTCGAGTAAGTGGTACAGATCACGATATCCTCTCACGACCTCGTCCAGCGTCTGTGAATGATAAAGTTGGTCTAATCTAAAACGCTAGATCTCTTGCTTAAATCAATGCACATTAAGGGGAATACCGACGCTGCAGTTACACATCACTATCCCAACGTCTTAATTTTGGTAAAGCGCTTTTCAATCGAGTTTCGTAAACCCAAAACCAAATTGATCTCAGCAATCAAGAAGTTGAAAGGAAGATTTTATGTGGAACAAATGAGAACTCAGAGGTTAGGCAATAATGCTGAATGCCGTTTAGAAAGTGACACGAATTTTCTTGGCCGACGACCCCATAACGAAATAACGCAAGACCAAAACAGTCCCGGGTTACCTTTGACATTCAACTGAATATTGATTTAAGAAATAGGCCCCCACTAAAAGCTGCAATCCTCTTTTTAACGTTCAGACACAGGGAGAGCACAAACGGTTGGCCCTAATTAGAGGTACACACAGTGAACAGTCCAGGCGTTTTATCGCTCAAGAAAATGCTTTGATCTTGGTAAACTTATTACCTTTCCTCGAATAATTCTTACCTGGATGAAAAATGACTCTGGAACCCCATTATTCTCGTGTGTTGGATAGGTAGACTTCACGCCGTGAAGCAGGAAGTCGGCCTCTTCAGGGCAACTGTCTCTCGTAATGACAGAACAATGAGGAGAATCTTGGACGTAATTTTCTGCACAGCTGTCATGGGCCTGTCTTGAACACAGGTCATTGGTTGTAGAGGATATGTTTGAAAATCGGTGAATAAAAAATAACTTGGGTTTACCCTTTAAAGAGGGACACCTTGTTGCCGTATACTCCATCATAACTTGTTCGAGGCACGCGTTCCTACCATCAGCACAATATATTTCATTGCACTGATTAGAAATAGTCATGATAACAACAGCAAGTATGTCGATGTTACGGTGATCTTTCTTAGCAAATTTTTGGGCTTTTTTTAACATTTCAATACTTCCCAGATCTCTCTTGACTTCCACGCGAAAGGACAAGTATTCGAATAGGTCGTTGAACTTTTTCTCTACCATCCCTGAGTTTGGAACGTTATTTATAAGAAGGCAAATTCGGCGTGGAGGTGATGAGTACAGCTGTAAAGTTTCTGTCGGGAAAAAAAAGGTTAAAAGATATGCGTTGAAAAATACGGAATCAATGGCAAGTAGAACAAACTGGTATGAAAACAAATATAGGCGACCTCTCGTTTTGTTTGGTTTGGTTTTTTATGAGATTTATTGAGCTTTACTTCATTCTCTGATAATAACTATGAGAATGTGAATTTAGCAGTGGACTTTCCCCAAGCTGGCTCTTCTAGTCTACTGATCTAGATCAAGAATTGGAATTTAGTGCGTTGGTTTTTGTGGAGGGAGTAAAACCCTCGGAGCAAGAACCAACAACATCCGGGAATCGAACACGGGCCACAGTGGCGGGAGGCGAGTGTTCTCATGAGAGGCCCAATGGGGTTAACCGTCAACCGTCAAATAAGGAAGCCAATGTTAGCCGTCAAATGTCTCAGATATCCCTAATTAAGAACTAAACGATTGCCTTAATTGGGGTTAAGTTCTGTTGCTCATAAATAAAAATTTTGATATATCACAAAAATACATTTATGTAAGTCCTTTAACTTCTAGTCGCGAGTAAAACTGGTTGGCGACAGAACTAACTTCCGGTGTGGAAACACCTCCGGTGTCGTAAAACGTTAGTCATCTGTTACTAAAAGGTGTTATGAATTAACAGTTCTTTACTGACGCGTCATTATGAAAAACAACAGCCAAATTCGCGCGTTATTTCGCTTCATAAACGACATTCCGTAAAAAATTAACCATCAAACGTCAAATGACCTGAAATTTAACCGTCAAYRWGACCCACACACTCCTCTGAGCCTTCCCTGCTCCCTAAAACAATTTGATGGTATTATCTATCACCTTCATTCTTCTTTGAAACCGCTGTGACTCCAACCTTACTGCCATTTCCTTCTGAACTCAAGCGAAGGTATCCATACCAAACCTTGGGCGCGCCGTTGCCAAAAGTGACCCATTGATCTTCTCCATTGATAGTGAAATGAACCCTGCCAGTGTTTGATTTGCCATCAACCAGGAACTCAACGCATAGGTTACTTCCACTTTTAAAGTCTGAGTTATAAAAATGAGTTATTGACCTGCGCCCACTGTAATTTGTTTCCGAGTCGAAATCTTTGCTGAAGATTTCTCTTGACTTACTGCTCCATGCACTGTAAAAGAAACATACCATCCCATGATAACTAGTTCTTCGGAACATTAGACAGTAGTGGCAGACACATTAAAAGACATCATAACTGTTCTACACTCCAAGGAAAAAAGGATAAATTCCTTGGTGCTTACAGGTTTGTTATTAAGACCAATTCTTGGAAAAAGTGAAGCATAGTTGGAAATAAAAATTTTTAACCCTTCTTCATTTTTGGTGTTGAGGTAGCTTACCTGGGGGGATGAACAAAAACAGCCATATTTGGATTGGCTAGTGGGTCGTTGCCATGGTAACCGCACTTGATCGCGTCGGCCTGAGGTCTATGTTTCGACCAAAAAATTCACTCTCAAGAAATAAGAATAAACGAGTCTGGTTCTCGGTTGCATGAGAATCAATTCAAATGAAATTCAAACAAATGGTAGTGGTACTCTCCCAGTTTATAAAATTTGCCTTTAAAGTATTTTGGGTTTTATAATCAAGAAGACAATGCTCGTCCTACTATGTTGCCTGTAAGCCATTTTAACAAGCAGGAAAAACAAGCACAACCATATTCGGAATCTCTCCAAAAGTGCTCTTTCCCAAAAAAAAAAAAAAATTAGCAGCAGAGCGTATATAGATATTGAAGTTTCTAAATATGAAAGAACCTATTTGGGGAAAATTATATTTTGGAAATGGGTGTTGAAGACTCACCTCTCCTCCAGAAATAAATAAGTCTTTTCCAGGCCGATAAAATTTTACATTATGTACCTAATACCTACCAAAATTTTGCCATTCTTTCTGGTTGTTTGATCATTTCTTTATTTGTTTGTTGTTGTTGTTGTTGTTGTTTGTTTGTTTGTTTGTTGCTAGTTTTTTCGGTGGGGAAGGGGTGACCGGAAGTAAATTTGTGCTGTCAATCAAAAACACTGTAAATTAGGGAAATTTGCATTTCGTCATGCGAAGGAAAATATCCTGGTCGGGACAGTGGAAAGATGTTCTTTTTTAAATCCCAAAGGAGACGTTTGTGAGTGCAGTGGAAACTATATAAAACTCAGTGAATGTCAAAGGGATAATTCTAGGAAATAAACCGTAATGAAATCAGCGACGAAATGGATCTAATTCTTTGCCGTGCAGGCAAATACAAGTAACATTTCATGCGCGAATTATTCATTCTCTTGTCACGAATAGTTAATCATAACTGAATTTGTAATTGCATTTTCACAGTCTCTAAAGCAATCTTTTTGTTTTTGTGTGCAGCTATTATGATCATGCGTTCAATTTCATCCAAACCTCAGTTCAGCTTCATTGACTTTGTTTTTGTTTTTAGATTTACGCTATGATGCATATTCTCAGCATTTGTTTAAGGCTATGGTTCTCTTCGTGTATGAAACATTGTTGTTGCGCTGTTTCCAAGTCTGTTTGTATCAAGGTACTGGATATGCCTAAACGCATACATTTTACTAGGATTTTTTTATGTTAATTTTTTTGAAGCAAGCTTGCTTGATATTTGTCAACATCATGGAGATCGCTTGGGGATTTACTGGAGGGGCCGGTGCAAAAACTGTCAAGTAGCGCCTGAAGTGGCACAACACAAAAGCGCAGCAGTAAAGGGTGACAGCAGCTTGGTAAAAGACCAATGCTAGTATATCAAGAAGATAACAGGAAAATTCATGCCCGTAGCACCCAAACTTTTCAACGCTGTTCCCAGTTTCCCAGGGTATGAGATTGCTCGACGTTTATTTTCTCTGATGCTCCAGTTTTTTTTTTTTTTTTTTTTTTTTTTGGGAGGGGGGGCTTTCTTCACCATTGCCATCGTAAAACAACCCCATGACGAGAGACAAGAGGATAGCATTACACATACATCCGGTGTTACGTCCCATTACATTGTGTTACGTCCCATTACATTGTGTTACATCCGGTCAGCAGTCGTGCTTCTCAGACTTCTGGTCTACGCTTTATATCGCAATATCGCAATATCTGACTTAGACTTTCTCAAAGTCGTTCGCTTCGTTTTCTGTTCTGGTGTGGTAGGACCCGCACGCTTTCGCTCGCTCACTCGGCTCGGCGATTTTAGCCAAAGACGTTACTTTGGATTGTGCAAAGGCATGCATTTGCTTTGTACATTGATCTCGTCACATTTACTTTACTTCCTGGTCGACAATATTGATGGCGGAATTTAGGTGCTCGACGGCAGGAATCTTAAGTATTTCAACCATGTTTTGACCTTGTCAACTACTCTTTGTCAAGTGTATGCGGGCTACTTGTATCATCATCTCTGCTCCAAAACACAGCAAACTAGATATTCGATGGGATTAACCGTAAGATTAGAGTCTGAGCCAGATTTGGTCAAGAAAATGGAGCGAACGAAGAAGAGGCACTGGAGAGAACCACGCGACGAAAGCATCCTGAAGAAATTCCCAAAACCTTCAAGGTTTTGAATCAATTTCATCAAATTCGTCGGGGGTTAAAATTTTTCTTTTCCAAATTTGCTTCACTTTCTCGGATAATTGCTCTTAAATATTGACTTAAGCTTGCCAGAAAGGAATCTGTGATCTGACTTGAACATTGAAATAAGAGGTAAAAAAAATTCATTTAGAAAGATATTGACTCTACAATTTGCGCTGTTCTACAATCGACTCGTTTTTTGGTGAGTTAGAGAAATAAGCGCCGAATAAGCGCCATCCTCGAATAAGCGCCATCCTCGAATAAGCGCCATCCTCGAATAAGCGCCATCCTCGAATAAGCGCCATTCTCGAATAAGCGCCGCGTCTGGGACAAAAAAAGTTAATAAGCGCCGCCCTCAAATAAGCGCCGCACCCCCGATGCGGCGCTTATTCAAGGAATTCCGTAGAATCAGGAAAAACACTATAAAAAAATTTTAACAAAAAAACGATAATTATATTCTTTAAATGTGACGTTCTTTAGTTCAAAGTGACTGTATTTCTCTGCTCGGGTTATCATGAAACGCTCGCGGTTTTTTCACCGCATGAATTTCTCTCGTAATTCTAGATTTACTATCAGTTTAGCATCAGTCCATAGGAAAATTGACAGATAGAAAGTGTACCGTTGAATAAAAATATAGAAAAAGTAAATTTTTCTGGTACAATTTTTAAATAAGCGCCGCCCTCGAATAAGCGCCGCACTTATGGCGCGAAAAATTAAATAAGCGCCGCGGCGCTTATTCGAGTAAATACGATATATATATATTTGTTTTGTTTTGTGTGTGTGTGTTTTTTTTTTTTTTTTTTTTTGGTAATTTACGATCTTATTGTATTTATATCCTTAATTAACTAAAATTCTAAATGTGTATTTTTCTAATCCTATTGAGCTGAAAAACCCATTTAGGGAGCATCAATAAAAGTATGTAATGTATGTAATGTATGCAGGTATGGAGACTGCCGGAGCCCTTTCTTATATACTCAGTTTCAGTGAACATGGCAGTCACAAGTCATACGCACACACAGACACAAACACATCTATATTACCATAGTTTTCCAGTCAATCGCTGTTTTCCCTCATTCCTAAAGGACAAATTTGCAAAATAAAATCAGTATATTATCTAGTTTGGTATTTATCAAAAACTCTTTCACGGTGGGAACCCTGATGTGCCGGAAGTCGAATCGTGAGTGAATATACCGGAAGTCGAAGGACTTGAACGAGTGAAAACGAGGGGCATGGTATGAGAAGATAACAACAGGAACCTTCCACGTTCTAAAAGCGTAAAACGGCCGGAGGTCCATTTTCAGGACATTATATTAAACAATACGGGGGTATAAAATGTTGACGAATCGACACGATTCGCACAGATCGACTCGACTCGTCATTAGTGAAGTCGATTCGTCTCACCAGATGTCGATTCGCAGAGGAGGACAATACACGTTAAAGTAGGGTATTCAACGATGACGAAGAGAAACGATTCGCATGGGTCGACTTGACTCGTCATTGGTAAGGTCGATCCGTCTCACCGGAAGTCGATTTGCAGAAAAACACAATACATTCTTAGAGTGGGCATATGGTATTTCTGGGAGTGGACTGGACTTGACTGGACTGGACTGGACTGGACTGGACTGGACTGGACTAGTAAAACGCGGACTAGTAAAACGCGGACTAATAAAACGTGGACTAGTAAAGCGCGGACTTGTAAAACGCGGACCTAAGTTTTTTTTAATGTTTTTCCGTGTTTGTAAGTCGAATAAAACTTAACGGTAACGGACTTAACAACACAAATCTCTGAACAGTTCAACGACATCAATAACAATCAACGGTCTACCTCGAAATGAGAGGTATCACAACTGCTAACAGTGACGGACAATACAAATCTACAAAGGAGATTTATATTGTAATTTAGCGTAAACGTAATCTATAGTAACAATCCCAGATGCTACAGCTCAATGGCGTCAATAACAATAAAAGATTCGTAGTTTTCAATCTCATGCTTTTAAATACTCGGGACATGATATGGTGACATGATCGTGACAGACCACAGTCCAACTAGAACCTTACAGCAAGTCTTTGTACGATCATCCGTTTGTGTTCTTGGAGAAGAAACGATTGAACCATTTCCGTTTCCTGTAGCAAAATAAGGGGCCGTCGCTCAATACATCATGATATGTTATTCACCAGCCGGGAGGTCCGTATTGTGAAAAGCTGTGCCTGAGGTCTTGGACACCGCCCGAGGCCTTAGACCGAGGGCGGTATTTAAGACCGAGGGCACAGTTTTTCCCAATACGGACCTCCCGGCTGGTGAATAACAGTTTTATTTTTTTCTAACACAAAAAAATGATTGCCAAAAGAACCCGAATGATTTAGGGCTACAGTTACGAGTTTAATTACAGGAAAATCCTCCTTGAACTTAACAATTGTATAGCGAGTGAATTATAGAGAAAACAAACGTTATTCAAATTAAAGCATAGTTAGTAGAGGGGACTGGTTAGGAAAACCGGCGAACATCAGAGGAAGAGGTTATTGTTCGATTTTAGAGAGATCACGTGATATGATTAAAGAGAAAGCTTTCGCCAAAACATTTTTATTTGTAAAGGTAATTTAAAGGCTTCCGAGCAAATTTTGAAACATTTTTTTGATAAGTAACTGTCACGATGTGACACCTGTCAATTGAAGAGGAAAGAAGCGTGCGCTTTTGAATAAACAAAAGTACTGATGTGATAAACACAACAACAACAAAACTTTATCATCTTATTCTGATTACAGACTTACGTAATTAAAAATTCTTGTTACTAAAATGCATTATTTAAATGGTTTGCCCCGTAAATAGCTAAGAAGCTAGTCGCGGCGGGGCAAAACAAGAACGTGATAAAAATAACAAGTTATGGAAGAATGATAATAAATAAGGCAAACCTATGTTAATAGAAAAAAAAACCTTGCAGATTGTTTCGAGTTAAATGCTCATGCGACGATTTTCTCGTAAAAAGAAAAACACAGCTGATCTTACGGAAAGTATTTTTTATTTCTAACGACGATTAATCTTCGAAGATTTACCTCTGTTCCGTTTTAAAATGTCACGGAAACTCAAATTGGAAGTGAATGCAAATATGTGTTTTGGAGTTGTCAGTCTGCTTGTTTGTTTTCTCTAATGGCATGTGTAAATCGGTTTTTCTTCCACCGAAAAGCTGAAGTCAATGAGACTCCTTCTACCTAGACACAAGCAGATTTAATGCGACTTTTATTCATCGAATTTCTGCGTTTCTGCTGTGAAATTTACGACGAAAGTGTATTTTAGGATTTTGAACTGGTGCTGAATAAAATTCTTTGTTAGCCTAAACTTATAAATTCGTCTGTATCTGGCGCATGTCAAACCC